CTGCTCGTTCGTACGATCGCTGCTCGTTCGTACGATCGCTGCTCGTTCGTACGATCGCTGCTCGTTCGTACGATCGCTGCTCGTTCGTACGATCGCTGCTCGTTCGTACGATCGCTGCTCGTTCGTGCGATCGCTGCTGCGTTCGTGCGATCGCTGCTCGTTCGTGCGATCGCTGCTCGTTCGTGCGATCGCTGCTCGTTCGTGCGATCGCTGCTCGTTCGTGCGATCGCTGCTCGTTCGTGCGATCGCTGCTGCGCGTTCGTACGATCGCTGCTGCGCGTTCGTACGATCGCTGCTGCGCGTTCGTACGATCGCTGCTGCTGCGTTCGTACGATCGCTGCTGCTGCGTTCGTACGATCGCTGCTGCTGCGTTCGTACGATCGCTGCTGCGCGTTCGTACGATCGCTGCTGCTGCGTTCGTACGATCGCTGCTGCGCGTTCGTACGATCGCTGCTGCGCGTTCGTACGATCGCTGCTGCTGCGTTCGTACGATCGCTGCCGCCGCTGCTGCGTTTCTTAGCGGCGGTGCACAAAGTAACGCGACGAGAGGGACGCATTTGTCGATGGCGGAGTGGCGCGGGTGGCCTTTATCAAAGAAAGATGCGCGTGCGTGTGTAAAAAAAATAATGTCGAATCGCCGCGAGGCAACGTCTTGGGGCGGTTGCCCCCCCTCCATCTTCTCGGTGGCGCATCGAGAGAGAGGGGGGGGGGGGTCGCTCCACCCCCCCCCCCCCCGAAAAGCGGTGCCTCGTTTTCCTTTTCGAAGGCTCTACGTACGCGCGCTGTGGTATCGACGGACGCCTTCCTGTCTATATTCTTGGTTCTTTCGGTAAAGTCGCGTAGAAGGGAAATAAGAAAAATATAAAACAATAAAATTCTCAAGACGTTTTGACTGCAACACAAGCAAATCGTCACCAGGTGTGAAATCCACAGCAAGACAATTTAGAAGGGAAAAAAATTAACCCGTAAAAACAAAGTTTTTCACTCTAAATCCTTCATGCGTGGCGGCTAGAGTCCTCTCGTCCTCTGGCTTGAGATGGCTGCCACCTATGGGTCAGATGATTGCATTGCACCATTAAGCAATTGGTAATTAAATAGAATTTATTTTTTCCTAAAAAGTGTAAAATTTAGGAATTTTTTTCACGAAAAGACATTGTCACGCACAACAAGTCTGTCTGCAAAATATCAGCTCGATTGGATCACGGGAAGTGGGTTAAAAAACGACCGAAAGATTTGCACGGTCGTAAGCGCGCAAGCAAGTGAACTTAATAAGGATTTTTAAAAAAGCCACTTTTTTCTAAATTTTCTTGCCGTGGATTTCACACCTGTGTTGCAGTCGAAACGTCGTGAGAATTGTATTGTTTTATAGTTTTATTATTTCCCTTCTACATGACTTTAACCGAAAGAACCAAGAGTATGAATCCCTGCAGTCACGAAAGCTTTAAATCACAAGCCTTCCTGGCTGTTCGTGTGGAAAATCGGTTGATGATGAGAGAGACACGCCAACTCCAAATACACAGCAGCAGGCGTCGTCAGGGTCGGGAACGAACCCACGACCTCCTGCGTACCAGGCGAGGTAGTCAGCGTCTCGTAGCCACGGTGGCACCCGAAGGTTGGTTGACACGGAAGCACAGACATCCTTGGCTGTGCTTTGCAAGCGAGCTGGGGGTGTTGGGGTTGGGGGGCGAGGATTAACCACCCCACACACGCACCGGCGTTTGTGGAAAGGGTCGCGTGCGTGTCAAACACATTCCTCCTGCGGAGGGAGCTGGTAGGAACGTTGGGTTGCTCTGTCAATGGCCTGCAGGGTCAACGGTGGCGTGGTGTATTCCGCAAATATAGCCGACTGTGAGGGCGGGCACAAGCCTGCGTGAGTAGGTTAAACGTTGAGTTTTATAAGGGCACCACGGGGTGACCAACTTCCCTGCCCCACCCTCCCCACCCCTCCCACCCCCCACCCAGCCCCTCCTCCTCACCCTCCCAGCCCCTCCCCACCCAGCCCCTCCCCACCCTCCCCACCCAGCCCCTCCTCACCCTCCCCACCCAGCCCCTCACCCTCCCCACCCTCCCCACCCAGCCCCTACCCACCCTCCCCACCCAGTCCCTCCCCACCCAGCCCCAGCCCTCCCATTTTTGAATCCACGACGGACGGACGGACACAATAATCCTGTGTGGCCTGGTGTAACCAGGAGGGTTCCTACCAGTAAAATCGAAACGTATCCCACTCCCCAACGGAGTACGCGGCGCCTATGCTGGTCGGTGGCGAAATAGAAATCCGATGTCGCGACGTGGTCCTGCTGGTGTTGTCCAAGCAAAGTCGCGTTTCGGGAGGGGTGGGGGGGGTCAGACCTGCTGACAAGTTGCACAGCATCGTGAAAGGACGGTGGGTTTCAATAAAGGAATGTCTTTTTGCAATTTAACATTTGGTGATTTGTTGATTTTGGTTCGCAAGAGACGACAGTGGTGGTCATTTGGCAAGGAATCACGGTAAATAAATGAATACTACATTAAGTTTTCATTTACTTTATTTCATTATAAAATAAAGAAATAAATGAAAACAACAATTTTGTTTTCATTTTTATTTTAAAATAACTAAATTTAGTTATATTTAATTTTTTACCTACGTGACTTTACCGAAAAAACCAAAGAGTATGAATCCTTGCAGTCACGAAAACGCGCAGCGTAGCGTTAACCACTACACTACCGCTCCCCACCACACACAGTGCTTCAACGTGTTCCACGCCGTTCAGAGCATTTGTTCTAAATATTTCTTGCATAGTCGTGAAGGGTACAAGCGTGGACGTAGGACTTCTTTCACACCGTACGTAGCCAGTGTTTTATCCTAGTAGTTACACATTCTACTAATCAGTGTCTTACTACCCTAGTAGCACAAGTAGCTACACATTCTACTAATCAGTGTCTTACTACCCTAGTAACACAAGTAGCTACACATTCTACTAATCAGTGTCTTACTACCCTAGTAACACAAGTAGCTACACATTCTACTAATCAGTGTCTTACTATCCTAGTAACACAAGTAGCTACACATTCTACTAATCAGCGTCTTACTACCCTAGTAGCACAAGTAGCTACACATTCTACTAATCAGTGTCTTACTACCCTAGTAGCACAAGTAGCTACACATTCTACTAATCAGTGTCTTACTATCCTAGTAACACAAGTAGCTACACATTCTACTAATCAGTGTCTTACTACCCTAGTAGCACAAGTAGCTACACATTCTACTAATCAGTGTCTTACTATCCTAGTAGCACAAGTAGCTACACATTCTACTAATCAGTGTCTTACTACCCTAGTAGCACAAGTAGCTACACATTCTACTAATCAGTGTCTTACTATCCTAGTAACACAAGTAGCTACACATTCTACTAATCAGTGTCTTACTACCCTAGTAACACAAGTAGCTACACATTCTACTAATCAGTGTCTTACTATCCTAGTAACACAAGTAGCTACACATTCTACTAATCAGTGTCTTACTACCCTAGTAGCACAAGTAGCTACACATTCTACTAATCAGTGTCTTACTACCCTAGTAGCACAAGTAGCTACACATTCTACTAATCAGTGTCTTACTATCCTAGTAACACAAGTAGCTACACATTCTACTAATCAGTGTCTTACTATCCTAGTAGCACAAGTAGCTACACATTCTACTAATCAGTGTCTTACTATCCTAGTAGCACAAGTAGCTACACATTCTACTAATCAGTGTCTTACTATCCTAGTAGCACAAGTAGCTACACATTCTACTAATCAGTGTCTTACTATCCTAGTAACACAAGTAGCTACACATTCTACTAATCAGTGTCTTACTACCCTAGTAGCACAAGTAGCTACACATTCTACTAATCAGTGTCTTACTATCCTAGTAGCACAAGTAGCTGCACATTCTACTAATCAGTGTCTTACTACCCTAGTAACACAAGTAGCTACACATTCTACTAATCAGTGTCTTACTACCCTAGTAGCACAAGTAGCTACACATTCTACTAATCAGTGTCTTACTACCCTAGTAACACAAGTAGCTACACATTCTACTAATCAGTGTCTTACTATCCTAGTAGCACAAGTAGCTACACATTCTACTAATCAGTGTCTTACTATCCTAGTAGCACAAGTAGCTACACATTCTACTAATCAGTGTCTTACTATCCTAGTAACACAAGTAGCTACACATTCTACTAATCAGTGTCTTACTACCCTAGTAGCACAAGTAGCTACACATTCTACTAATCAGTGTCTTACTATCCTAGTAGCACAAGTAGCTACACATTCTACTAATCAGTGTCTTACTACCCTAGTAGCACAAGTAGCTACACATTCTACTAATCAGTGTCTTACTATCCTAGTAGCACAAGTAGCTACACATTCTACTAATCAGTGTCTTACTACCCTAGTAGCACAAGTAGCTACACATTCTACTAATCAGTGTCTTACTACCCTAGTAGCACAAGTAGCTACACATTCTACTAATCAGTGTCTTACTATCCTAGTAACACAAGTAGCTACACATTCTACTAATCAGTGTCTTACTATCCTAGTAGCACAAGTAGCTACACATTCTACTAATCAGTGTCTTACTATCCTAGTAGCACAAGTAGCTACACATTCTACTAATCAGTGTCTTACTACCCTAGTAGCACAAGTAGCTACACATTCTACTAATCAGTGTCTTACTATCCTAGTAACACAAGTAGCTACACATTCTACTAATCAGTGTCTTACTACCCTAGTAGCACAAGTAGCTACACATTCTACTAATCAGTGTCTTACTACCCTAGTAGCACAAGTAGCTACACATTCTACTAATCAGTGTCTTACTATCCTAGTAGCACAAGTAGCTACACATTCTACTAATCAGTGTCTTACTACCCTAGTAGCACAAGTAGCTACACATTCTACTAATCAGTGTCTTACTACCCTAGTAGCACAAGTAGCTACACATTCTACTAATCAGTGTCTTACTACCCTAGTAACACAAGTAGCTACACATTCTACTTATCAGTGTCTTACTATCCTAGTAGCACAAGTAGCTACACATTCTACTAATCAGTGTCTTACTATCCTAGTAACACAAGTAGCTACACATTCTACTAATCAGTGTCTTACTATCCTAGTAGCACAAGTAGCTGCACATTCTACTAATCAGTGTCTTACTACCCTAGTAACACAAGTAGCTACACATTCTACTAATCAGTGTCTTACTACCCTAGTAGCACAAGTAGCTACACATTCTACTAATCAGTGTCTTACTACCCTAGTAACACAAGTAGCTACACATTCTACTAATCAGTGTCTTACTATCCTAGTAGCACAAGTAGCTACACATTCTACTAATCAGTGTCTTACTATCCTAGTAGCACAAGTAGCTACACATTCTACTAATCAGTGTCTTACTATCCTAGTAACACAAGTAGCTACACATTCTACTAATCAGTGTCTTACTACCCTAGTAGCACAAGTAGCTACACATTCTACTAATCAGTGTCTTACTATCCTAGTAGCACAAGTAGCTACACATTCTACTAATCAGTGTCTTACTACCCTAGTAGCACAAGTAGCTACACATTCTACTAATCAGTGTCTTACTATCCTAGTAGCACAAGTAGCTACACATTCTACTAATCAGTGTCTTACTACCCTAGTAGCACAAGTAGCTACACATTCTACTAATCAGTGTCTTACTACCCTAGTAGCACAAGTAGCTACACATTCTACTAATCAGTGTCTTACTATCCTAGTAACACAAGTAGCTACACATTCTACTAATCAGTGTCTTACTATCCTAGTAGCACAAGTAGCTACACATTCTACTAATCAGTGTCTTACTATCCTAGTAGCACAAGTAGCTACACATTCTACTAATCAGTGTCTTACTACCCTAGTAGCACAAGTAGCTACACATTCTACTAATCAGTGTCTTACTACCCTAGTAGCACAAGTAGCTACACATTCTACTTATCAGTGTCTTACTATCCTAGTAGCACAAGTAGCTGCATATGTAGCAGCTACAAACGCTACGGGGTCCCGCACAAAACTATCAATTCCCGGTTCGGTGATTCTGCACTTGCTCTATTGCTATAGTACTGTACCGCCCTTGGACTTTTACGAACGAGCGGGTGTTTAAGGGTAGCGATCTGTCGTATGTTCTGGGCTGTATAGCAAAATGAAACAAGACAAGTTACACATCAGTGTTATTTATTTATTTATGGCTCCTTTATAACATCAATAGGCCCCACAGTAGCTTCATCCAGCACTATTACTATAGTACTATACTGCCTTCAATTTTCATGAACGACCGGGTGTTTAAGGTTAAGCAATTTGTCGTATCCGGCTGTGTAGCATCACGTTGGCTAAGAGATGTTAACTACCTCGCCTGGTGTACAGGAGGTCGTGGGTTCGATCCCGACTCTGATGATGCCTGCTGCTGTATATCTGTCATCATCACGGTGGCTAGGAGATGTTGACTACCTCGCCTGGTGTACAGGAGGTCGTGGGTTCGATCCCGACTCTGATGATGCCTGCTGCTGTATATCTGTCATCACGGTGGCTAGGAGATGTTAACTACCTCGCCTGGTGTACAGGAGGTCGTGGGTTCGATCCCGACGCTGACGCCTGCTGCTGTATATTTGGAGTCTGCTTCTCTCTGTCATCATCATCACGGTGGCTAGATGTTGACTACCTCGCCTGGTACGCAGGAGGTCGTGGGTTCGATCCCGACTCTGATGATGCCTGCTGCTGTATATCTGTCATCATCACGGTGGCTAGGAGATGTTGACTACCTCGCCTGGTGTACAGGAGGTCGTGGGTTCGATCCCGACTCTGATGATGCCTGCTGCTGTATATCTGTCATCATCACGGTGGCTAGGAGATGTTGACTACCTCGCCTGGTGTACAGGAGGTCGTGGGTTCGATCCCGACTCTGATGATGCCTGCTGCTGTATATCTATCACGGTGGCTAGGAGATGTTAACTACCTCGCCTGGTGTACAGGAGGTCGTGGGTTCGATCCCGACGCTGACGATGCCTGCTGCTGTATATTTGGAGTTTGCGTCTCTCTCATCATCACGGTGGCTAGGAGATGTTGACTACCTCGCTTGGTCTACAGTAGGTCGTGGGTTCGATCCCGACCCTGACGATGCTTGCTGCTGTGTGTGTCTGGAGTCTGCGTGTGTCTCTCCCCGTGTGGGTGTGGATTTCTCTCCGGGGCCTCCGGAGTTTCCCCCTCTCCATGTAGAATCGACGTCGCGCGTTTAAGAGCAATGTGGCTGCCGCTGCTATACATTTTATACATTTAGATGCGACGGTGATGACGGTGGTGGTGATGACGGTGGTGGTGATGATGGTGGTGGTGGTGAAGATGATGACGGTGGTGATGATGACGGTGATGGTGAAGATGGTGGTGGTGATGAAGATGATGATGAGGATGATGGTGGTGGTGAAGATGTTGATGGTGAAGATGATGGTGGTGATGATGACGATGGTGATGATGATGGTGGTGACGATGGTGATGATGAAGATGGTGGTGATGATGATGAAGATGGTGATGATGATGGTGGTGATGGTGTTGATGATGAAGATGGTGAGGATGATGGTGGTGATGATGGTGGTGATGATGATGGTGGTGATGATGGTGGTGATGACGATGATGACGATGGTGGTGATGATGGTGGTGATGATGGTGGTGATGATGGTGATGATGATGGTGGTGATGATGATGGTGATGACGATGATGACGATGGTGGTGATGACGATCGTGGTGATGATGGTGGTGATGATGAAGATGATGATGGTGGTGATGAAGATGGTGGTGATGATGATGGTGGTGATGGTGATGATGATGATAGTGGTGGTGTTGATGGTGGTGATGATGGTGGTGATGACGATGATGATGGTGATGATGGTGGTGATGACGATGGTGATGATGAGCCGGCGATCACGTGTCCGATGTTCACGTCGCGTCTGGACAAGAAGCTACGGAGAGCAGCCGCATCCTTGCGGGACACGTGGGGTCACGTGGGGACACGGGGGAGACACGGGGGGACACGGGGGAGACACGGGGAGACACGGGGGGACATGGAGGGACACGGGGGGACACGGGGGGACACGGTGAGACACGGGGGTACACGGGGGGGGACACGGGGGGGACACGGTGAGACACGGGGAGACACGGGGAGACACGGTGAGACACGGGGGGACATGGAGGGACACGGGGAGACACGGGGGGACACGGCGTTTCCTTCGTAAAATATAACAAATCTTCAGCCCAGGACCGGCCCTCGCCACGGCAACGTGGAATTGTCCATCGGCTTGTCGCTGGGGGGCGGGGGGGGGCTTTAGCTTTGTGTGGGGGGGCACAGCGCCCTGCGGAGCAGCGTGGCGAGGCCCCTTGGCGCCAGCTGCAGCGGCGTGAGGCCCTCGCGGTTTGCGATGTCGACGCTGGCGCCGTGCACCAGCAGCAGCTGGGCCACGTCGGTGCGCTCCTCCTCGCACGCCAGGTGGCTGCGGGGAGAGGCGGAGACAGAGAGAGACAGAGAGAGACACAGAGACACAGAGAGAGAGGCAGAGACAGAGAGAGAGACACAGAGAGAGACACAGAGAGACTCAGAGAGAGAGGCGGAGACAGAGACATTGACAGAGAGAGACACAGAGAGAGACATTGACACAGAGAGACATTGACACACAGAGAGACATTGACACACAGAGAGACACAGAGACGTTGACACACAGAGAGAGACGTTGACACACAGAGAGAGACATTGACACAGAGAGAGACATTGACACACAGAGAGACACAGAGAGAGAGAGACACACAGAGAGACACAGAGAGACATTGACACACAGAGAGACACAGAGAGACATTGACACACAGAGAGACACAGAGAGCGAGAGACACACAGAGAGACACAGAGAGACATTGACACACAGAGAGACACAGAGAGACATTGACACACAGAGAGACACAGAGACGTTGACACAGAGAGAGAGACATTGACACAGAGAGACGGAGACAAATGAGTAGGCGGGTGAGTGAGTGGGTGAGCGAGTGGGTGAGCGAGTGGGTGAGCGAGTGGGTGAGCGAGTGGGTGAGCGAGCGGGTGAGCAAGTGGGTGAGCGAGCGAGCGGGTGAGCAAGTGAGCAAGCGGGTGAGCAAGCGGGCGGGCGAGTGAGCAAGCGAGTGGGCGAGCGAGTGGGCGAGCGAGTGGGCGAGCGAGTGGGCGAGCGAGTGGGCGAGCGAGTGGGCGAGCGAGTGGGCGAGCGAGTAGGCGAGCGAGTAGGCGAGCGAGTAGGCGAGCGAGTAGGCGAGCGAGTAGGCGAGCGAGTAGGCGAGCGAGTAGGCGAGCGAGTAGGCGAGCGAGTAGGCGAGCGAGTAGGCGAGCGAGTAGGCGAGCGAGTAGGCGAGCGAGTAGGCGAGCGAGTAGGCGAGCGAGTAGGCGAGCGAGTAGGCGAGCGAGTAGGCGAGCGAGTAGCGAGCGAGTAGGCGAGCGAGTAGGCGAGCGAGTAGGCGAGCGAGTAGGCGAGCGAGTAGGCGAGCGAGTAGGCGAGCGAGTAGGCGAGCGAGTAGGCGAGCGAGTAGGTGAGCGAGTGGGCGAGCGAGTCGAGTAGGTGAGCAGCGTCACGCACAGGGGCGTGTTGCCCTGCCCGTCCTGCAGGTTGAGCGAGCGAGTAGGTGAGCGAGCGAGCGAGTGAACGAGTGGGCGAGCGAGTGAGCGAACGAGTGAACGAGCGGGCGAGTGAGCAGCGTCACGCACAGCGGCATGTTGCCCTGCCCGTCCTGCAGGTTGAGCGAGCGAGTAGGTGAGCGAGTGGGTGAGTGAGTGAGCGAGTGGGTGAGCGAGTGGGTGAGCGAGTGGGTGAGCGAGTGGGTGAGCGAGTGAGTGAGCGAGTGGGTGAGCGAGTGGGTGAGCGAGTGGGTGAGCGAGTGAGCGAGCGAGTAGGTGAGCGAGCAGGTGAGCGAGTGGTCGAGCGAGTTGGTGAGCGAGCGGGCGAGCGAGTGGTCGAGCGAGTTGGTGAGCGAGTGGTCGAGCGAGTCAGCGGGCGAGCGAGCGGGCGGGCGAGCGGGCGGGCGAGCGAGCGGGCGGGCGGCGTCACGCACAGTGGCGTGTTGCCCTGCGCGTCCTGCAGGTTGCTGGAGGCTCCGTGCTGCAGCAGGAGCTGCACGCAGCAGCTGTGACCCTGAGCTGCTGCACGGTGCAGCGGAGTGGAGCGCAGCCCGTCGCTGCAGGTTCAGCGAGTGAGTGGGTGAGTGAGCGAGTGAGTAGGTGAGTGAGCGAGTGGGTGAGCGAGTGGGTGAGCGAGTGAGTAGGTGAGTGAGCGAGCGAGTAGGTGAGCGAGCGAGTAGGTGAGCGAGTGAGTAGGTGAGCGAGTGAGTAGGTGAGCGAGTGAGCGAGTGAGTGGGTGAGCGAGTGAGTAGGTGAGCGAGTGAGTGGGTGAGCGAGTGAGTAGGTGAGTGAGCGAGCGAGTAGGTGAGCGAGCGAGTAGGTGAGCGAGTGAGTAGGTGAGTGAGCGAGCGAGTAGGTGAGCGAGCGAGTAGGTGAGCGAGTGAGTAGGTGAGCGAGTGAGTAGGTGAGTGAGCGAGCGAGTAGGTGAGCGAGCGAGTAGGTGAGCGAGCGAGTAGGTGAGCGAGTGAGTAGGTGAGTGAGCGAGCGAGTAGGTGAGCGAGCGAGTAGGTGAGCGAGTGAGTAGGTGAGTGAGCGAGCGAGTAGGTGAGCGAGTGAGTAGGTGAGCGAGTGAGTAGGTGAGTGAGCGAGCAAGTAGGTGAGTGAGCGAGTGAGTAGGTGAGCGAGTGAGCGAGTGAGTGGATGAGCGAGTGAGTGAGTGAGTGGGTAAGCGAGTGAGTGAGTGGGTGAGTGAGCGGGTGAGCGAGTGAGCGAGTGAGTGAGTAGGTGAGCGAGTGAGTAGGTGAGCGAGTGAGTAGGTGAGCGAGTGAGTGGGTGAGCGAGTGAGTAGATGAGCGAGTGAGTAGGTGAGTGAGCGAGTAGGTGAGCGAGTGGGTGAGCGAGCGAGTAGGTGAGTGAGCGAGCTAGTAGGTGAGCGAGCGAGTAGGTGAGCGAGTGAGTAGATGAGTGAGCGGGCGAGTAGGTGAGCGAGCGAGTAGGTGAGCGAGCGAGTGGGTGAGCGAGTGAGTAGGTGAGGCGAGTGAGTGGGTGAGCGAGTGAGTAGATGAGCGAGTGAGTGAGTGAGCGAGTGAGTAGGTGAGCGAGTGAGTAGGTGAGCGAGTGAGTGGGTGAGCGAGTGAGTGGGTGAGCGAATGAGTGGGTGAGCGAGTGAGTAGGTGAGCGAGTGGGTAAGCGAGTGAGTGAGCGAGCGGGTGAGCGAGCGGGTGAGTGAGCGGGTGAGCGAGTGAGTAGGTGAGCGAGTGAGTAGGTGAGCGAGTGAGTAGGTGAGTAGGTGAGCGAGTGAGTAGGTGAGTGAGCGAGTAGGTGAGTGAGCGGGTGAGCGAGTGGGTGAGTGAGCGAGTGAGTAGGTGAGCGAGTGAGTAGGTGAGCGAGCGGGTGAGCGAGTGGGTAGGCGAGTGGGTGAGCGAGTGTAGGTGAGCGAGTGGAGTAGGTGAGCGAGTGAGTAGTGA